CCGGCCGGCTTCAGTCCAGATGGATCCTCAACGAACCCCGTGGTGATCCCCGCGCGCGGATGTTCGAACGAACGGATTGTCGGCTGTCGGAAAAGGGTTGATCGACACGGGCCCGGGTCCCATCGATCGGTTTAGATCACTCTGGGGAGCAACAGGATCGATGAGAGGCCCGTGATCATCAGCCAGTTGCACAACTCCCTCGACGCTGATGACACTATGGCCACTGCGCTGTTGCAGGCTTCCGGCGCTGGGTCTGGAACAGAGATGATTTCCGGGATTTAGCGGAGTTCGGGGGAATGTTCGATGATCGTTGGGAGAGGTTATGTGTTTCGGACTTTTGACATGTTGCTATGCGGGTCACAGGCGACCCATAATCGAATTGAATTACTGTTGATTCAATTAAACAATGCTTCGAAACATTTCTGTGTTACAGACAATGCTGCCTAACATGAAATAATAGACTAACCCTTCGAATGATCGAATTATTTGAAATATTAATTACCTCTGTGGATATTATCTCGGTATATAGTGTAATTATATGGTATAAATGATTATTAACAGCATTGATATTAATTTATGAATATTAATTAACGGAAAATAGTACTGGACAATTAGATAATTAATAATTTTCAAGTAATCCTAAGCGTGCTACTGTAATTACAGAAATTAAAAGTTCAATCCTTAATTTCTTATAATCAACCCTCATCCCCCATACTCAATATCAAAGTAACCAAGTATTTCTCAAAGCTACCCTCCCTCCTCCAACTCACATTTTTCCCTAATGCCTACTAATTAGTAACACGTAATTACATAATTCCAACTCTCGGAAAGTTTCCTTGGAATTACCGAATCCCATATTTTCAGGATCAATTATTTCACCCCGGATCATTCCGCCCTAAAAGTTCCACCGACAATGTTTCTCAGGATTATTTGATTCCCAGATCCGAGGGCTAATTAGCCTAAAACTCAACGGACCGAGAACTCGGAACGTTCGTCTCGGATCGTCTTCGAGGCCACTCACCCCCGGTCCACCCCTAGCCTCGCCTGATTCCGCATTCCCTTTGACAAAGAGTTTCGGAACCGTCTGATGAACAACCGAAAACGGAAGAGGCTAAGGAACAAGCTTTTCCACGGTTCTTTGTAATCCGCGGGCGAGACGCGAGCGGAATCCGCGAGATTGCGACGCCAGCCTGAAGAATAAGGGAAAAAATCGCCCGGAGGATAACGAGTTTCCGGTTCCACGTGATCTTCCCTTTGCCTTTTCTCTTCCGTCCTGCCCTCCGGCACCTGCGATCAGTTGTTTTATGAAGTGTCTGGATCGGCGAATGGAAATTCCGAATAATCTTTTTGTGATATTGTTAAACCTCCGTTGCGGTCGGTTTTCGATCGGAAACTGAATTTCAGGGGTTCGAGGAATCGAGAGGTTAAGATAGGAAGGATCTTTTAATGTAGTGTTCAGTTGTTCGTTGTCTTTTGTTAGTAATCGTTGAGAAGTTGACTGAAATGAAATAGGAAAGCAATTTCATTCTCCCTTGTTTTTCCTTAAATATCAAGCAACTCTGTTTTCATCTTCGTTGAAGTCAAGCAATCTTATTTCTCTTTAATACACTAAATTTAAAAATAACATAACTTTTTCAAGTATCTCTCATTGCGAGTAATCAAGAGAAATAAGATTGCTTGACTTCAACGAAGATGAAAACAGAATTGCTTGATATTTAAGGAAAAACAAGGAAGAATGTCCTTAGCAAAAGGAAAAAAATTGCTTGACTTCACAAAAGAAAAGAAAATTCACTCGGATGACAAGCAAAATAAATATAAAAAGAAATCAATAATAAAATTGCTTGGCGCTAATAACGAAAGGAAGAAGGTTAAAACAGCCTGACCACGAACAATAAAAGACAGAATCACTTCTCCTTAGCAAAAGAAGAAAAATAAAATTGCTTGACTTAGAAAAAAGCATTGCCTGATCTTCAACGAAAAGAAAAGATACAATTGCTTAGCTACAGCGAAAGAAGAATCAAATTGCTCGACCTTCAACGGAGAAATAAAATTGCCCGACTTCGACAGAGGTGGAAAAATAAAATAGAATTCACTTTTCCTTTCCTCGCTCGAGACTTCCATCCAAATATTTGCGCGTCTAGAGTGCCTGTCGGGCCAGGCAAGGGGGGAAAAAAGAAGGTTCGCGTTTCACCCTTATTAAAATTACCGCTGATCACTGGGCCGAGATTAACAGGTTGCCGGGTGGCTATTACGAGCCGCCGGATGATCTCGTGGGTGATGCCGCGATAATCCGTTGGACCTTGCTCCGCTGAAACACCGCTATTAAGCGTGGGGCGATCGATGATAGCCGAATCACGCGATCGTGATTTACACGGGCGACCAAAATGGCGCGGGACCGCCACTTATTGTCCTCTTCACCGAAGGGGACGATCCTCCGGACTGCTTGGGCGGATAACGAGTCGCCACTTATCGTGATTACTCGATTCGAACACTCTGCGCATTGTCCTTTCTTTCGTTCCTCGAACGAACGATCGGTAATAAATATTTTCGGCAAATGGGGATTCGATGCTTTGACCGGTTAACCCTTAGCACTCCAGGTTGTTTTGTGACCTATCAGGAATTGCAACCAATTTTAGCGAAAATTAGAAATGCTATAACATTTCTTCGATCTTTTAGTTTCCTTGTTAGTACAGAATTTGGATGTGAACATCGAATAATTTTAGGGTGGTTTCTTTAAGATTCATTAAAATATTTAATATTATAACTGCTGCAATATTGGAGCCTACAGAGTTCAAAGGGCTAATCCTTTCTCAAATTAATTAATTATTCAAACAGCAAGAGATCAGCGTACAGCTTCTTGCGTTTTTATTGTTCAACCAATTGATATATAATTTAGCTTCGTCTGGTTCCAGAATAATTTTAGGGTGGTTTCTTTAAGATTCATTAAAATATTTAATATTAGAACTGGTGCAATATTGGAGCCTACAGAGGTCAAAGGGTTAACTGTGGAATTTAGTTGGGAAAACCTCTCGTTCTGCGCGCAATAAAGTCGAAAAATGGAGCGTGTACTCGTCGAACGTACAAAGAATTCACGCAGAGTATATTTTAATGAAAGATCAGAGCGAAACAAAGAAGAATTGCATGTTTATGCGAAAAAATAAAGAATTAGTATCGTGTCAAGCTTTACGATGACGTGTATACTCGTCAAACACAGTTAACTGGTTAAAGATAATATTTGTTTATCATTGAATTCCACAGGATTCGGTTGAATTTAATTCTATAATAATATTATGATACCTGGTCAATTACAAGAGATTCTTGTGAGTAAATATTAAATATTGACCAGATATTGTTATATTATTATACAATGAAATCGAACTGTGTTAAGTTCAATGGTGAATAAATATTATCTTGGGTGTACGTTGAATTTAATATTTTATTTTGAATAGATATTGTTTATAGATTTAATTATTTAGGGACGAGAACTTTTGGAAGTGCAGAAAATGTTTGAGAGGAAATTGAATAAGAATTCTTGAAACTAAGTAATGATCTTTTGTTTAAATAATTAAATTCTTGGATTGTAAGGTTCCATGTTGGATATGAAAATTTTTATGTGTTTTCTGAGGGTTGATTTATATATTAAAAGATATAGAAGCTGAGTATCTATGAAATTCTTTATTAACGTGTTTATGGGAATAAGAAAAAATTCTAGTTATTAGTCTGTACTGGTGATTTTGAAACTGATAAAATATCTGGGAATGACGAGCTCGGTGTGATGAGTATACCGCAGAGCCTTTATAAATTTATAGCTTATAAAAGTCTTCAACAAGTTTTAATATAAAAGTTCTAATGCAATTTAATGCAGGTTTATGTTAGTTTTCATCTGCTGAAACATTTTAAGAAGATAATCAACTCTTTTTAACGTTGATTTCTTGTTGCGTCTCTCTAAAGTGTGTATATACAGTGGCGTTTAATTATTTTCATACTTCAATCAGAGAATGTCAAATATCGAAATTGCCAGTTGAAATGCTATCCGGATTTTAAATAAAAATAAAGCGAGCACAGACTGCACAATGCAGTTAACAATATTGTAGTCGTAACTTATACGATTTTCTGCTTCAGTAATTGCTTAAAATTTATATACAAACACGAACATTTTATTATTGAATCGTTCAATTTAATTCCTGCCAGATCTAGTTCGTGAAAAAATGAATTGTAAAAATAATATTCGACACAGTAACCTTTCTAGTTTCATTGTTTATAAAATGAAAATCTGAAACCAATTATTTTAACGACTGCAACAATTCCAGCACAGATTATTTTATATTGTTATTCACCAGCTCGCAATTAGTTAAAATATGAAAAATAAAATATGAGAAGATCAACATTTTTGTGGATGGGAAATTTTTCTTTTTAAAAGTAGTAAAATTGTTACGGATTTATGAATAGAAATGTATCGTTTAAAATGTAGCACAGGGATCTGTCGAAATTCAAAGTGTCCCTCAGAGTCACGAAGATCGTCATTAAAAGAAACTTGTACCGAGTAATTACGAGTCGATTAAAGGGCGAATTAAGTGTCCCGTTGATTAAAAGCGCAGCGTTCAACCGACACAACCGACGAGCATCCTAATGACCGGGCCTGTCACTACGGTCGTTCTAACCCTGAATTAAACCAGCCTCTAAGTTGTCGCGTAAACCTAACCATTTCAAAATGAACACAGATTACAATTGTGAAAGTGGTCTAAGTCATACATATTTGTTTAGCTTAATTTAGCTTGAAACAATGTCTCCTGAAATAACTGATAAACTCATCTTTTTCAAATTTTAACTTAGACCACTTTCATAATTATGCTCTCAATTAATGATTCAAAAATATAATGATGTCACATGAAATAACTGATAAACTCATATTTTTTTAAATTTCGAGTTACGCCACTTTCATAATGATAAACACAATGAACAGTTCAAAAATATAAGAACATCACATGTTAATAACTGATATACTGATATACTATATACTGAGAAACTAATTTTTCCAAATTTCAACTTACACCAGTTCCATAATTATGGTCACAATTAACGGTTGAAAAATATCCCAAGAAGAAGCTGCATACCAACACGTTCGTACGAATCAGCTACCGAGTCGCGTTCGTCACAGGCGCACAAAGGTTTAACCCTGACCCGAATTCCAAAGGAAACCGTCAGGCCGGTCCCGGAAATGATTTTTCTAACGGGACAACGGAGGGATAGAATCGAACGGTCGCATTTGAATATCCGAACAATGGGTCTAATCCGTGGGACGAGTCTCGTATAAACAGAACCGCCGAACGATTGGGCAACGGTGACGGCGAAACGCAAAGGGGGTCGACGCGTCACGCGACCGCAGAGGATAATGAAACGCGGAAACCCTCCGGGGACGCGAGAAATCTGGTCGATATCGATCAGCGGGGTCGAAGGGGGAGGGGTTTGAATTATTTATCGGCGCGACGCGTCACGGTTAACGATCGGGATTACTGTGATTCGAGACTGAATTATGGAGATTGCTGACCGAAAATTAAAAGCGTAATGTTACTTGATCACTTGACTTAGTTTAACCCTTTCCACTAGAAAGGCGCCATTTTAGTTGCCATTTGATTCGATCTAAGAAAATTGTAACATTGAAAATATAATTTGAAACGGAGTAGTGGAGAGTGCTGGCTGAAAATTAAAAGCGTGACACTATGGGACTCGATCACTTGACTCAGTTCAATCCTTGTCACTCGAGAGACGCCATTTTAATCTGCCATTTGATATTGACAGTTCAATTTGAGACTGAATTATGGAGGTTCCTGGCTGAAAATTAAAAGCGTGACGCTACTTGATCACTTGACTCGGTTTAACCATTTCCACTTGAGAGGCGCCATTTTAGTTGTTATTTGATTTGATCTAAGAAAATTGTAACATTGAAAATTCAATATTAACCCTTTGCAGACGAAATTCGATATTTCGACGAGATGAAGGGTTCACATTTGGAAGACTAAGTCTCAGACAAATGATTTAATTAGTCGAATAGATCAGCATGTAATTTCCTTTTCTTCTATTAATTAAGCAATTGATATATCTATTCGTTTGAAAATTGTAGGGCATTAAAATATGGTATTTATAACTGAGATTGTCAATAATGAGCTTAGTAGCTGGTAAAAGTAATGAGTTTAATAAAGGGTTTATGAAAGTTCCTTGTCTCCTGTATTTTGTAACAGACCCTCCTTCATTTCCTGAGGGGTCGATTTCTTAATTCGAGTAAAAAAGTAACTGAGGAAATAAAGATTGGATACATAGATATCGTATAATTGGGGTCCATAAATGAATCTACTTGAGTAAGACTTTCTACAGTGGTTCTCATGAATAATTTAAAAATTATAACCAGGGAGATCCATATTTACTAAGCTTTTAGGAGACGTAGTGGCTTCAGTGTGTCTCTTCTAGAGCATTAGCCATCAATTCCTAAATTCACCAGGCCTGTTTCCTTTTCCAGTAACAACTTATTAATCCTGATATTAATTCTAAAGTTAATTCTAGCCAGAAATTCATTCCAAAATGAATTTTAATTCTGAAATTAATTTCGGTTAGCAATTCATTCCAGAATGAATTTTAGTTAATTAATTCCACAATTAATTCTTGCTAGGAATTGCAATTCTAAAATGAATTCTAACATTCACAGACCTAATTACGAATTAACTCGGTAATTCATTCTAACCATTCAATCCTACATTCTAAATTCAATAAATTCTCTTTGAATCTAATATTCCTCCAGATTAGTCGATCATTTAAGTAAACCACTTAAGGGTGGATCAAAAAATATTCCGAGTCCACGTTGAAACGTGCAAGACATCAACCCTTTGCACTCGAGAGATGACTATCAGCCACCATTTGATTCATTATACCAAAATTCTAAAGTTTTACACCAGATATTAAACTTTCTGTAGTCTATAAATATGGGAAATATGGAAACAATAATTTTCTTAAGTTATCTGTGTTCTCTCGTTCAGTTCGTTTCGAGGAACGTCATATATAACTTATTGAAAAATATTAAATATTTCTCGTGAAGGAAACGTAATTTATCAATATGTGAAATATGGAAACAATAATTTTCTTTCTTAACTTATCTATATTCTTTCGTTCAGTTTCCTTCAATATTTCAGTATTCGTATATAACTTATTAAAAAATCTTTATCTCTAGTGAAAGAAGCATTCCATAAATATGCAAAATATTGAAACAATAATCTTGTTTCTTAACATCTGTATTGCCTCGTTCAGTTCGTTTTAAGGACTGTAGTATATAACTTATTGAAAAATATTAAATATCTCTAGTAAAAGTATTCTATAAATACGTGAAATATTAAAACAATAATTTTGTTTCCTAACTTATCTGTATTCTCTCGTTCAGTTCGTTTGAATATTTCAGTATTCCTATGTAACGTACTGAAAAATGTTGAATATTTCTAGCGGAAGGCTTCCAAGTTAAAAGGGTTAAATAGTTACAGGAAGAAGAGCCAGTGTCCCGGTTTCCTTGGACGCTAACGAGGAAACCGGGAATTTCAGGACGAATTAGCGCGGTTAGCTACCTGGCACACCCTTCAGCCTGGGCAGAAACTCGTTCCAGAACGCGCAGGACGTGGTGCGAGGTCCTTTCCCCAGACCGGTCTTCGTCGCGTCGAAAAGAAAATACTTCGGCTCGTCCTTCGAATATGGCGGCCACTCGGACTCCTCGATCGTTGGTTTACTGGAACATAATCGCAACGGAACGGATGTAGAAAGCACGGGACCTTGTTTATCGTCCTCGTAAAAATATATTAGGCGTAAAAAAATTGCTCGGAACATCGATTATTTCAGTTGGCAGTCGCGTGAAGTGATAATTATAGGTTATGAACGCGGGGAAAAAAATGGCGACGATATAATAGGTTACTCGGTATATAAAATTGACGAGTGTACTGCGAATTTGGAGGTTAGACGAAAATAATGAAAGAGTGAATCGATTGGATCCATTTTTGGGAAAATGTTTAAGAACTAATATTGAAGAATTTTTGTTGTTAATTAATTAAGTTGATCAAGTTTGAGTTAGTTATGAAGGCCTTAGTATTTATTCTTTGGAGTTTGAAACTTGTACTGAATTATTAACTTCATTTTTTATTATTCATTTTCTACGAGATATTTCCAGTTTAAGTGAATTCAACGAAAACTTAATAACTGAGGATCATTAACACGATTTGTAAAAGTAATCGTATAAACTCTGTCTCGAATTTTTCTTCTGTACTGAATAGTTTCGAGGATATTCGATTAAACAGAGTTCCTAACCTCAACATTGAGAAGAACCGCGAAGTTTCTCATACTTTTCGAGTTCCGCGACACACGAATTATTCATTGAAATGAATATTAATCCCCCAATGATCCTTGCAGGTCAGTAAATTAATAAAGAACTCGATTTCAGGCACGAGCCTGACCTATTCATTCGGCAAAATTCGCCATTCGTGTGCTCGCGAATCAGAGATCCCTGATTTTAATTGAATCTGCTTCACGAAGCAACGCGAGACACAGAGAGAGGGAGAATGGCGTAACCGATTTGGACGTCGATAATTAATCCGAGTTACACAACCGGGGACAGACACGGTTAGCTAGTTAACCAGGCTCGTTTAAAATTATTAACAACGCGCTAACAAACTGAGCGCGTCGCGTCCCAGCTCTGGGTTTTATTAATTATTGGGGGAACGCTTGGGCGTCGCCCATTGAAATATTTCACTGGCAATTGAAGAGCTCTCGCAGAAAACGCTCTACGCTGGAAAATTTGATTCCGGGACGTTCGGTGTTTTTATTGGAAATATTAGTAAATATAATAACGTTCGCTGTCAATACAGAAACCGAATTTAATGAACTTCTATTCTGCGTGTACGCCATTTTGTTGGGACGATGTTTCCAGAGATCAAACGCAAGTTGGTAAATGATTTAATGGAAATGGAAAATAAGAGATATAAAATAGAAAATGGAACGTACAAAATAGATCATTTGATAAATAACAAAAATATCTAGAAACTAAGAAGCAACTTCACAAATACTGCAACGCAACCACGTAACAGTTTCACATTTATCAAAACCAAGATAAATGACCCGAGCAAAAATACCCTCGAAGACTGCTAATTCCAAGGATCAACCACTCAAACTTCCAACCCTCTTTCCTTTCACACGCCCGATCACAATTCGCAATTAAAACAAAGATTCTCGAGCGCCGCGAGAACTTCGCCGACCGGTCCGACCGTCATAACTCATACAGGATCAGAGGTCAAGATAATTAACATCGGGAGCTCGTTGAAAAAGCGAGGGAAAAGTGAGAAACGGGGGAGGGGAAGCTAATCGATATTCGAAGGACGAGTGTCCCACTCGAACGACGAGAACGAAGAATCAGAGGAATCCGGAGTAACGTAAAAATTTACAGTGACGTAAACCGGCGGCCCCTTTGTATCGGCGACATTAAATAATTCCGTTTAATCCAGATTGAAAAGCCGAGCACGGCGAGCGGGCCAGGCCACACGTGCGACGTTAAATATTTAATCGTTGTCGCCGAATAAAACCGGCCACCGGTGTCTCGAATTAACGCGGCCGTCCGACTTCTCGGCTGACTGGCGAAATTCGCCGATCGTCCCTGCCGGAATTATTAATCGCGTTCCGATGCGGAAACTCGGCCGCCATTTTCGGTGATCCGGCCGGCCGATCGTAAATGTCGTGCTCCGATGTTCTTTTCAATGAAATTCGCTGGTTACGAGGGAACGATAGGCGTCTTTGCGGCCCGCACGGCAATTCAAGATGGCGGACGGGGAGTTACGATGGCGAGGGGAATTTTAGGTTTGTTGAGGGGTATTGGGGGATGCTTGTTTTGTGGAGGTTGTTGGGACAGTTTTATGGTAAGGGTTGTAAAAGCTTCTTGATTGATGAGGGTATGTAGTAGATTTAAATAATCATTGTTGGAGGTGGTAGTGTTGATAATTGTGTGTAATGATAGTGTGTGGTGTTGATAGTGGATGGCATGTAACGATAGTGTGTGATGTTGTGTGTGTAATAAATGGTATATAATAATAATGTGTGATATTGATGATAAATGATATATAATGAATAATGTGTGAATTTGTAATAATAATGTGTGATGTTGATGATAAATTGTATGTAATAATAATGTGTGCTGTTGTTAATAGATAATATGTAATATTAATAAATTAAATACATAAAATCGCTAATACCTGAGGCATTTAATTACATTCTGTCATGGATAATGGAATATTGATGTAGATTTATAGAATTATGGATAATGGCTGATCATTTTCAAATGGTTATGGAGTACAGTTAATCTGTCGATTTCTATCGATTCGATGCGATGAAAATTTTACGCTAAATTTATTGAAAACTTGATTCATTATTACTCTTCTTGTCAATCGATGGAACATATCGCTCTTTTATGACTAATTGATCGCTATAGAAAATTTATACGTACAGTGAATGTTTAACTTGGTTTTTTGCTGAGGGATTACTAACAGTAAAGCATTTTTATGAGCTTGGTCGGGAAACAAATCACAAAACAAGATTAACAAGTTCATTCCCGCATAAATATCATCAAAATCACATAAAATCGTGTAATATATTTTATGCCATGCTTTCCCATGATAATCACTATGTATATTTACTAGAGAAACTCTACTTTGCAAAATTGCACAGGATGAACACAACGAATAACACGAAAATTCTATAAAAATGCACACAATAAGGAATATAAAAGGTATCTACAAAATTTCCAAAGAGTTGTCGTTCTTACAATATGCCAGAAAAAACTATTATCTATCGTAAAATATTCTATTTTCCCAACTCCATTCTTAAAACCTTGAATTTGCATAAGACTCTGTAATCCAGTGATTACGTTTCAACCTTCCTGCATCTCAGGAAATCGAACAAAAGCTTCTTTCCCTCGAAATATCTGTTCTAAAATCAATGTTCAATTATATATTAATAATTTTGTCGGTGAGATATAAGGTACGTAATAATTGACGAGTTAAATGAGCTCTTTAATTGTCTAGATGGGTCATCCAGCGTGCGACATAATGGCGGATGGAGATCAGAGTGGCTCGCAGCGCCCTCACCGCATGCAAGTCAAATTTGTTGCTCGGTCTGTCCGCAAGAATTCTCGAGGAGTGTCCTCTCTGAACCGAGTTACTTTTCAAACGGGACGCCGGACGTGAATACAAAATGCAATTTTAAGCGGCAACGGGTTTTAAATAACCGAGGCGGAATCGACGTCTAACGATCGAGGGCGAACCTTACCTCTCGTTTTTCGCTGTACCCGTATTATTAATAATATTTACGTTACTTATTAGTATTTATTTTCCTATTAATCATTCTTTAGTGCCAGTAAGTCCTTTACCTTTAATAATGGTATTTACTCTACTTATTAGTATTTATTTTGCTATTAATAATTCTTTGGTGCCAGTGAGTCCTTTACCTTCATTATTAATATTTATTTTGCTATTAATAATTTTTTACTGTCAGTAAATCCTCTATTTTTATTAATAGTATTTACTCTACTTATTAATATTTATTTTGCCATTAACAATTCTTTACTGTCAGTAAATCCTCTAACTTTATTAATAGTATTTACTCTACTCATTAATATTTATTTTGTTATTAATAATTCTTTACTATTAGTAAATCCTTTAACTCTATTAATAGTATTCACTCTACTTATTAATATTCATTTGGTATTAACGATTCTTTACTGCCAGTAGTTCTTGTAAGACAAGGGGGTGAGAAATAAAACTAGACGAAAATTGGAGGGCTGCTAAAAGGAAGGAAACTCACCCCGAGTAGGCGAATTGAGAGAAGTAGCTTATCATCCTGAGGGATAGGTCCCGTTCCTTGTCGCTGTAGGTCAAAGAAGTGTTCAAGGGATGACCGAACACGTATTCCACTTCATCACCGTGCATCACCCCCATCCACTCGCCCCATAAATTCGTGCTAGTCCTCTGGAACAAAAGGTGGTTCGAAACAGATTTTTATTAATGTAATAACGTTACACTTACATTAATTAATTATATGAAATATTGTGTCAATTATTCCTGTGTATTGTACTAACGTAATCATATTGAATTTACGTTAATAAATAATGTTAAATACTGTGACATAGATGAGTTGGTATTCATTACACCAATGTATTTAATTGTATTAAGTTTGTATTATCAATTATGTTAATCTATTGTTATCTATCAGCTTAATTTTGTTATATTTTATATTAATCTGTTGTTATTTATTGCACTAATGTAATAATATTGAATTTATACTAATAAATCGTACTAAATACTATATCAACCAGAGATCATTTTTTTTTTACTACCTAGTTATAAATATTACATCTTGGATCTTGATTTATTAAAAATTTATGACAATTGATAATTAATTTCCGCTAAGGTTAATATTACTAATAAATCTGAACAATAATAATGAATAAATACACGAACGTGTAAATTTGAGAATTACAGTGTCGAAAATAAATTCTGCTAATAATTAATACAGAAATCACCTACATCAGTTCAGTAATACGATGTTTCCAGTTTTATTCCCGCGTCAACAGTGTAATGGCGTTACCGAGCCATTAAACGGTTTGGTTTACATTAAAGAAAATATGATTTATCCCCGTGACTCGGTGAATTGTTACAAAATAAATATATTGTTAGTGAGCCCGCAAACCGTGTATATACACACTTCGAAGGTGTTTGAATTGTGAATAAATACAACGACGCGATTCCATTGGCGCCTGTGTATTTTCGAACAACGTGTTTGATGTTCGATAATTTGAAATGATAGTCTCAAGTAACAAATATCAGATTTCTCGGATATACCGGAGGACAACGCGCGCGTGGAATAAAAATCATATAGGGCTTTTATATTCTATGGACATTCTATACAGGATTAAATTAAACGGATTTGAATCAGACAATGAAACACAAAAGTGGAAAGAACATTTAAATGATTAACTTGAAAGTGCAGAATATTCGTGTATTTAACAGAAGACAGATATTAAACAATTTCATTTAGGTATCTTAATATTCAACGATTTAAAATGTCAAGATTAATATCTGCCATGATAATTTTAATAAAGATCGTTGAAATTCCAAGCAACGATGGGAATTTCTAATTATCCTAAATCCACCACTTCTTCACTGCACCTTGAATGTTAAATCTAATTAAATGTCAGTTTTATTTGATAATCTACTCGTCTGTATAATACACTTTACTAATTAAATTATCGTTTAATTTATATAATATCACTGTTTTATTAAATATTATTTGATAGTAGTATAATATGTATTATCAGATGTTATATCAATTATATTATATAAATTGAAGAATGAAGTGTACATTATGTTATTAGGTTCAGTTCAATTTATTTATATTATGATCGAATATTTTCAAATAGCAGCTGAGAGTTTCGACGTTAGTAAAACAGATGAAGGTTTCCGCAACGTAGCACTCGATGCACGAACCGTAATATGCGTTGCGAGGAAAGGCAAAGCCATTTACTATCTGGGCGCCGGCTGAAGTGCAGAAATTATTCTAATACAGTATCTACATCCAGGTTACAGAGTCTTCAGAGAATCAACGAAGCGATAGAGCCCTTCTGCCGCGGGTCATTCTTGCTGTTACGATTACCGTCACGATCCTTTTGCCAGGAAAATTGGGGATCGTCGAAGATTGTACGATTTACCGACTTCCGTTATATTCAATTATTTCAAGTTGCTGAGCCAAAGGAATCTTTAAGCCTCTGTAGGTTCGAGTGACTTTGAAGTCGCATAAGAATGTATTGACATCTTGATCTATTTCATTTTGTGTAGCAAAGTGGCGAGTAAAATTAGGTAATTAACTTGAACTTCTATGCGATTAGGTGTGAAAGTTCAATGGTATTGTAATTTTGAAATAAATAAAATAAATGGAGTCACAAAGTGACGTGTGTTCGAATGCACTTATATTTGAATGAAACACCAACGCAAGACGCAGAAGAATTGCATGTTTATCTGAAGAACTAAATAATTCATCGATGAAAGAGTAATTATTTCAAGTTTTAGGCTAAAACTATAAGATGTGTCGAAATGACCCACTTCTAATCAGAAAGTCTTTCATTTCGCAATGACTGAAAAGGTAACAGATGTTTTTCTGAGAAACTATTAAAGAAATTGATTTAACCAACCGCAAACTGAATCATAAATCAGTTAAAGTCTCGATAGATGCACTCTTGAAGTTTCTATAGAGAAATTTCAAAAAATCAAGTCGATAGGTTTAGTGCCAATGAAGAACCAAAGCAAAACAAAAACGAATTACACGTTTACCTGAAAGACTGACTAATTCATCGACGAAAAAATGATCATTTCAAGCTTTAAGACGACGTGTATACTTGTCAAACACAGAACAAATCTTCCCAGAGCACATTTTAACACTAAAACTATCAAATGTGTCGAAATGACCCACTTCTAAACAGAAATTCTTTCATTTTGCAATTATTAACAAGATAACAGATGTTTCTCTGAAAACATCTTGAAGTTTCCACAGAGAAATTTCAAGAAGCCAAGTTAACTGCTCGAAATTTCAATGAAGAACCAAAGCGAAACAAAGAAAAATCACACGTTTACCTGAAAAACCAATTAATTCATCGACGAAAGAATTATCATTTCAAGCTTTAAGACGACGTGTACGTCGAAAGCAGCTAACCGGTTAAAGAAAACGATGATCCACGTCTAGCGGAGAAAGTCGTCGCGTTGACGTTCCTCAAGCGCCGGAAGCGGCGCGCGTCGCCCGACCCCGGGGAAATTCCGCCTCTGTAATCACGATTTTCCATCGAGCCCGCGGGTAATAGACACGCGCGGATGAATCGCGTCCTCCTCCGATTAATTTCCAATCTCTGGCCACGCTGACGACACCTGCGAGCACCCGTCCTCGTCGAAAAATTACGCTGCCCTCGAGCCTAGAAGTCTCGGCGACGATCGGAGGCGCCGAGGAACGCGGCCTTGATCGATCGATCTTCGAGCAATAAGGCTGCGGCCAGGTGGCTTCGACGGGGAATCCGTTAAAGCAGCGATTTCATTTCCATTCGACCCGAGGAAAACGCGTTTCCAACGTTAAAATCACCGTTAATTCTTCGTAAATGCTGCGCGACGCGGGAATCCAACATGGCGACGGTCGTTCTTGATTTTTAGGTTAGCTTAGCTGAGGAATGTTCTTGTACCTTATTTCTCTGGTGTTTTGTGAATAAATGTTATGGGAATGTGATGAATGTGAATGTGATTTGTTTTGTTGGTATTTGTTTTGTGATTTTGTTAGTATTGTTACTTTTATTGTTGCTATTGTTATTGGTATTCTGTTACTGAGATTATTTTTATTATTGTTATTGTATTATTACTGTAGTTATTATTATCAGTAATATTATCATATAGTATAATAAACTACAGTTTTGTTAAATGAAAGATTATTCGATTAATCAAATGAAAGATTATTCAAATAATCAAATGAAAGATTCTTCGATTAATTAAACGAAAGATTATTCAAATAATCAAATGAAAGATTCTTCGATTAATCAAACGAAAGATTATTCAGTTATTCAGTTAATCAATTTTATATCATACATATAAAATTCATAAAGTTAACTGTGGAAGACTTGAAACTTGACAAAAGTAAGAAGAATATATAAGTACTTACACATATTTATAGAAAACCAACGGAAAGCAAATCGATTTATGATTAATTGATAAAAATAGGTCAAAGCTACGAATTGTCATAAACGAATAATAAATTCCAAATGACTTGTCTCCTCTTTTTATGCAGACGAGTAAGCAAAGTAACGAGGTGCGCCCAGGTATAATGAAGTAATTTAAATGAAACGCGCAAGGGGAAAAAGCAATATTTCTCGTGTTTGCGAACGCATTCGAGAACAAAGCACGCCCCGCCGATCTTTTCCCACCGAATCGATCGATTTTCTCCGTTGGTATAATCGTCTTCGTGCGACGAGCGTCGTAATACGAGGCATAATAGGCTCAAGGTCTCCATTGACCTATCATCGACGCGAAACGAATCGACTTAAGACAATCGTAGAAGTCGCGAGACCAATCTGGAATTTAATTAGAACCTGGCTGCGTTCAGTTAATGACGCAGGGCGGGCGGCGCTAATTAAAATTCGTCGAATCGACGAATCACTGTTCCACGAACATCTCTTTGCCCTTTGTTTCACCACGTGGATTGCTGTAACGAGATTCCAGCTGAAGCTTCGTGAAACCAGAATGTTCCCTATATTCTCAACAATTTTCTGTTGGCCGACGTAATGCTGTTGAAGACTATTAATTTTAGATTAATCAAATACATTGAACTAACAAAATATCAAAGTTAATATAGAGAACGAAAATATTTAATTCCAAGAACAAATATTTTAGAATATTGGAATATTAAAACATTAATGTCCATATAGTAAAAAAATAAAAATCTCAAAACATCAAAATTAATGGCCGTCATAATGCCGTTGAAGACTATTTAGTTTTAGGTTAATAAATATATTGAATTATCAAAATACTCAAATTAATAGAGAATTGAAATATTTAATTAGGAAAACTAATATCTTAGAATACTGGAACTAAACCATTAAAATTCATATAGTAAAAATTAAAAACCTCAAAACATCAAAATTAACCTACTAATTTACCAATCCTCCACTTCATTAACAAAAAAATCTAAAACACCAAATATAAACCCTTCCACAATTCTCCCCTTCACAATTTCCCTCTAACATCAAAACCTAATTCTAACCTACACCAAACTACATTCAACCATACACATAGATGAATCACACCAAACAACCTCCCTCACTCCAACCAAAAACAAAAGAAAAACAATCGACAAACTCATCGAGCAACGAGCATACCTACACGAAAGAAGAATAAAAATAAATCTTTTATTTATCACCGTCCACCATTTATTCCCGGTTAAA